ATGAATTATTCTCCTTTTTTCATGTCGTAGAAACAAGAAAATATAGATCAAAGAGCATAAGTGTAGGAAAGGAATGGATAACGATGATAACAGTTTCCATTCACTGCACAGCTCTCATGTGTCAGTCACCCACTAAGTGCCTTCCCTTTGTAAGAGCCCAGGCACGTTGGGGGTTATTATGCTCTCTTGACAGTTGAGAAAACAGGTTTAGTGAGGGTAATGTGCCCAGATCACACAGGTAATTGGCAGAGCCAGAAACCAAACTCCAGTCCCTGAATCCCAAGGCCATACCTACTGTTTCCCAGAATAATATTGAACAGAGCTAACATTTTCACATACAATCTTCATTGGATATATCATTTTTCCTACAAAAACACATTGAAGTACTTGATGTTCCTAGTAATAAAAATATTATTTTCCATACAATTTTTATTGAACAGAAAATATTCAAGATGTATAGACTCTGAGAGCAGTTCCTGACTGGTAACAGCTACCGTACAACTCCAGCTTGTTTGTTTCCATTTCTCCTCTAGTGTACATCAAGTAAAAAGTGTTTAAAGGAATTAATTGCCTTCAAAGTTTCTGAAATAACTAAACTCTAAGGTGGAAAAAAAGCAAAAGAAGAAAATTTAATGGAGCATAAGTTATTATATATATTATATAATATATGTAATATCAGGGTGGCCTTTTAAATTTCTACTTGTAGAAATAAGTAAAAAGCATGGTCCCTCATGGCTACTCAAGGGTGTTCTTTGTGGTTCCAGATCATGGAGCCACAGTGCAATCATTGAAGAAGAGCCAATATGCCAATGGAGTTCATTTTTCATGTGAAAGGTTTGAAGTACTCAACTGCAAGCCTATCTCAGGATCTGAAATCAGATTAGTAAACAAGTCACAAAAGTGGTTTCTAGCATCACACTGATAACAGTGTGAAAGGGACTGATTTGGCTCCTTCACTGGTGAATATAAAATGTGAGAGGTGATATAAATGAAGTTATGAGGAGGGTATATATGGATTTTCTGTATATTTTTAGTTGGTGTGTCTTTAATGTGTTACTGTAATTTATTGATTGCTCACTCAGTATCAAGCACTGTCTTTGGTGCAGCACCTACAAAGATAAGAGATAAACTCTGCTTTTATTAAGGAGACCATAGTTTTGTGGGAGAGTCCAAGGGTCCACACAATGTTGAGCACATAATAGGTTCTCAATAAATAGTTGCTGAATACATGTTTTGGTTAGGTATGGGGATGAATAGCAAAAGTGTGTGGAGTGTATGTAGCAAGTGCTATGATAGGGCAGGATAGGACATGCAGAGACACTTGGACTTCTGCTGAAGGTTTCTGTAAGCGTGACCTTCAAGTCACATTTGGGAGGAATTATATAGAGAAGAAAGGTTAGGAGGAAGGAGGATGGGAACTTACAGAAAATAACATGTGCAGAGACAGGAAGCTGAGAAAGAGCATGGTGAACTTACAGAATTGGATTTTCAGTATCCAGGACATTGTGTTGAAAGAGGAGAACAAAGATTAGTAAGGGGACTTCAGGAAAGCCATATATGCTCACCAAGAAATGCTTGTGTTCTTGTATAGACACTGGATCTCAAACACAGCACTGTTATAACACAGTAGAGAAAATAATGGTTAATACTTATTAAATGCTTACTATATACTAAATGTTTTACATATATTAATTTTTTAAACCTCATCTGTCCTCCTGAGATGGGCATTACTATTAGCTCATTTTAAGGACTAGACAAGTGAAATACAGTGAAATCAAGTAACTGACTTGAGATAATAGAGCTGGGATTTAAACCCAATGATCTGGCTCCAAAACCCACACTCCTACCACTTTAGTATATTGCCTCTTAATGCAGTGTCAAATTTTGTGTAACATGCTATTAATAATGATATGTGAAGTATCTAAGTTGAAAAATTATTTTTGTGATAATACATCTCTCATTCACTTACTTTCCAATATAATTTCTCAAGTTGGAGAAAAGAAGTATAGGAACGGGGTGGGGGGGGGATGGGCTAGGAATTATATATAATTCTGAGACATTTATGAGAATGTGTTATACAAGTAGCAGTCTTCCATCCTCGGTAGCATTAGGGTGAAAACGTTTGAAAGACTAGAGACCCAATGCACAAATTTGTGCACATTGAAAGGAAATTAATTAGAAGAAATGTGTTAATGTTGCTCTTTGCCCTTTCTCTATAATAGAAGTGTCAACCAAATTCACAATCGACAATGACAAATGGAAACACACGCCTGCGATTGGCATCAGCAAGAGCTTTATATATATATATAAACTTGCTTAAACTTAGCCTTTTATATATAGACAAGATTCTACTGAGTCTCCTATCTACTTACTCCAGGACTTCTGTGCGGATCAAATGAGATGAGGCATGTGAAAACACTTCATAGACATTTGGTTAAAGTGTAAAATGTTTGCACTTGGCTATAAAGCAAGTTGTGTTCCTGGGCTAAAAAAACTGCAAGGAGGCTAGTCGCTAGGGAGAGGAAACCAGGTGTTGCTGCATGATGTAATTACCCAGCTACCACAGTGACCATTTCTGGGCTGGGCTGGGCTATGGGGCACATTTTGTGCCATGGAGTCTCAGTAGCATTGGCTGTGATTTGGTGAGCTGTCACTCTGGGGTGGTGGGGGGCATGTGTCCCAATTGGGGGAAGCTGAGTGTTGCTTTGTTGGCGTCAGGTCGGCAGTGCAGTTCCTTTGTAAATGGCCAGGGCAGGTCATGGCAGATCCTGCGTTGAGCATCTGTCCTCTGGTGGTCAGTGTGTGTCATAGCGACTGGTTGGAGGGACACTTAGCATATTAGCCTTTTATATATATAGATAGTCATTCAGTGAAGGATGTGACAATATTGGGGATTTTAGTTAGAGAAAATAAAATGTTCCTTTATTCATAGAGAATATGACATTGATATTTTTGAAGTAACATGTGTCAGGAATTGTTAATGATGTGAATGTAAAATTCATAACTGACATGTATTTTTTCCACTCAGGAATACCTTCCCATTTGAATTTCCATAATCCTTTGTCTAGATATCACTTAAAGAACTTTCAACATCCTGTCTATTTCTCTGCAGTGGTGTGTACTGAAATACATATGGAATGAATAAGAATCACATCTAAATACCCAAAGTGTTGTTCATGGCACTTGACAAGCATTGTTTATTGAAAGTGTCTTTATTACCCTAGTTTTACATATAAGGAAACTGAGGATTCAAAGGTTAGCCTTCTTGAGGCCACTAGGAGTTAAAAAAGGTTTCAGTCAGGGGTGGCAGATGGGTTTCCCATGAGTATCTAAGGAGTAGCTAAGACAGCACCGAGTGCTTGGAGAGATCCTATTTTACTTCCTAACCCCTCATTTCTTTCTTAATTTATATATAAAGTAATTTCCAATATGAACTATAAATCATAATTTAAATGCATACAGGTCCTTTAGGATTTCAAAATATGTTCATATTCATTAAGTCCCTATGTGACAAGTGAAGAAAAAGAGATAAGCCCACATTGTGAAATAAATGGGGAAGCAGAGTTAGCATGGGCACGACCCTCTTGACTCTCAGACCAGTGTTCTCTCTTCCATGCTGTGCCACTTTTTATGGCCAATGCCAGGTACCTGTGGCCACATTAGAGACCTTACACTGTTTAAATTTTAGGAAGATTCCAGACAACAAAGGGTGTTAAACATCTCTTTATTTAATACTAGGAACGTACCCTCATTGTTGCTGTGTGACTCTGATTGTGTTTATTTGAAAGTTCCTCTCTTTAGCCATCCGTTTAGTTTGACAAGTTAAAAGTAAAATTTTGTTATTATTGCTTTTAATTAAAAGCTCCACAGGTAGAATAAGAAACTCATTCTAAGATGGAAATATATGGAGTTGGCATATAGAACAATTAGTAGTATACATTTTTGGAGAATACAACATGGAAAAGAGATTGCAATAAGGGGACACTTCCTAGTACAGTATAGAAATTAAATTCAGTATGCTGTGAGAAGAAAGTCAGGGAAGGGACTTGCGGAGAGAAGATAGACACAAAGAAACAAGGTTGGTGAATTTGTCCGATAGCAAAGAGTAGTCCAAGAAGACGAGGCAGGGGAGGGTCTCTGAAGGCTGTCAGAGAAAAGGAAGGTTTGTATAGATACTGAGGCTCCATGGGACAGGAAAAGCATTGGAGATAGTGATCCCTTTCACTCCTAAAACCTGTGATTATAAAAAAGTTAATAGGAGGGAAAGTAAAAGTGAGAAGCTTTTCAGAGAAAAGATGAAAGCTCCCGAGAGAAATGGGAGTTTAGAAAAGAAGGCATTTCATGCATCCTGCTGCCCTCCCACTCTTACCCTTGTCGCAGTGGCACTAGGGGAACTTTCATGATCTGAGCAGCGTTGAGACTTCCCAGGGATCACTTCCTCGCACACTGAAAGCTTCCCAACAGCAGTCCACGTGGATATGCGCTTGGGCAGAGGTAGTGGAAGCAAAGGCTTGGAAGAGAAATTGCAGAGGGCAACAGCTTCAGAAGGGAGCTCAGATCAGAGTGAAGTAAAACTCCAGGGAATCTGCCTGGGTCGTCTTCCTGCCACATTTTTAGTTGCTGTTGGTAGTTCCTATTTTACAAGAGCTGTTATACTCCAGGACATGTACACTCTTCTCCATTAACTGTCATTCTCTGCAGCCAGTATTGACTATTCAGCCCATCCACTTTTATTTATGTAACTGTTAGCCTAACTTGGATACTCATCATTTACTTTCTCACATGCACGATAAAGCATGTCTTCTCCCTGTACCTACTTCTGGGCCTCTTTTCGTGTAGAAGATATTATGCTATCAAGACTGACTTTATATGGATTACAACTCTTCATATCTCTTACCATGCACAATATATTTTTATATACCTTCCTTTCTTAGAGAGAAATAAGCCCAGTGGGCTATCTTACTAAGACTGTATTAACATGGTTTTCTGAACATTTATAGGCAGTGCTGGGACACCCGTCACTTTTAATGAGAACGGAGATGCTCCTGGGCGCTACGATATCTTCCAGTATCAAATCACCAACAAGAGTACCGAGTACAAAGTCATTGGGCACTGGACCAATCAGCTCCACCTAAAAGCAAGTATCGACATAAATGTACACCAATGGATATTGTTCTCAAAGAAGAATGCTTTATTTTTCAGTATATAACCTTTATTAGAATACATTTTCTCCTAAGTACATTTTTAGAAAATGTATGATTTGATTCTATCTTCAACTTTAAAATGTGATGGAAAGTCTTAAATGTCTGTAGAGATGGCTGATAATTGTAGGGATTTAATGAAATACTTCATTTTCTTTTCATTGACTATAGATACACTTAGGGCAATTTTGCCCTTTTCTGACTCACTTGGTCAAGTCTTTGTACACTGTGTGTGTGTGTGGGCGGGGGAGCGGGGGTTGGGGAGTGGATAATAGAGTATGCCATGAATGCTAAAGTTGGGGCTTAAAAATAAGTGTATTTCATCTTTATCACATCTAAGGGGAGACCTTTAGACTATATATGATTGATGGAAGTGCAGCCTGATCTGGATCTACATTTCATCTTCCTTTTTTTTTCATCTTTCTTTTTAAAAAATATATATTTTATTGATTTTTTACAGAGAGGAAGGGAGAGGGATAGAGAGTTAGAAATATCGATGAGAGAGAAACATCGATCAGCTGCCTCCTGCACACCCACTACTGGGGATGTGCCCGCAACCAAGGTACATGCCTTTGCCTGAAATCGAACCTGGGACCCTTCAGTCCACAGGCTGATGCTCTATCCACTGAGCCAAACCGGTTAGGGCTACATTTCATCTTTCAGTGGCAACACCAGAGAAAGTTAACATGCCCAATGTGATGTCTATTGTTTAATAGCCCTTAGAGCTGCCTGCTGTCCCTGTCTTACCTCAGGTGCTGTCAAGACATAATGTCATGTGAGGACAACTTAGATAGAGCAGGGAGAAGGAGGGCCTCAGGGCCTGGGGAGGATGCCAAACACGGCTGGGCATTTCCCTGCCCGGGTGCCACACTGCCACAGAGCTCTGTCTTCTTCTGCTGGGGTGTGGTGGGGACATGGTGGGGGTGGCATGCAGGATGGCGAAGGGCAGAGGAACTTCTTCAGATGTTCCTGGTTGGAACATCTCCAAGGGGCTCTCCTAGGGAAGGAGGTTTCAGGGACTTTGGGGAGAGCTGCCTCTGATTGACACCCACCAATCATAAGGGGCTCTGAGCCCTGAACCTGATGGATAAGGAAATGCAGGAAGTCACAGGGCCTAGGGCTGGCAGTGATGGCATGGCAGGGTGCAGGGGTGGTTGGAGCAGTTTACCACTGGGTAGGGAATTATTTCACATTTGCACAGCTCCTGGTGCCATAGCAGTGCTCACTGGCTTCTTTGGGTATAAAGTAGGGGCCTCCTGTAGTCTCAGAAAAGGACGGGCATTCTTTCATTCAATATCTCTTCTACATCTATAATACAGGACTATTTGCAGAAATTGAGGGCCAAGGAATTGCTACAGCAGCAGTGTTACCTCCATGGGCAATCAGATGCTTTTAAAATGCTTCAAACGAACGAGAAACATATTCTTCTTCTTTCTATTGTCTTAATTTGTATTCTGTTCTTTCCTCTAATGAAGGTATCTCCTCTTCTTGATTCTCAAAGCTACCATAACACTGTGAGAGTTGAGTTCATTTCCTAAATCAATAATGAAGTTCATTTCCTAGCTACAGCTTATCCTAGCTAAAAGGTAAAAGCTCATGCCATACATGAGGGTAGGAGGGAGTTCACTCTTGTCTCTGTGTATAATGTACACATGGACTTTCATGTGTGTGAACCTACTCAGAAGACACCTATTTAGCATTTTAATACATGTTCACTTCCACATGTCCAACTATAGCCCTTCAGTGGTATGTTTATGCAGCATCAGTCACCAATGTTCTCAGAAAAGAAGGTGATGAAAAATAACAAAACTAGGGTATTTAGGATCAATTGTCTCTGAAATGGCTTCCTGATAATTATCTCAGTTATGCATTGAATAGTGCACAAATACAACTTCTGTTTGAACTACTGCTATACAATGCATGACTATGTATCTCCACTTTAATGCATGCAGTGGCCTCCTGAAATCTTACCCCTTGTTCTGCATTCCAGATTGACATTTATCCGAACACATCTTCAACAACTCTGCAGGTTGTTGACACCAATCTGAAAACGAATAGCTTTTAAAAATTTATCTTTATTGTCAAACGTATTACAGATGTCCCCCTTTTATTCCCATTGACCTCCTCCACTCTGCACCAGCCCCCCCGCCCTTCACCATGCTATTACTGTCTGTGTCCATGGGCTATACATATAAGTTCTCCAGTTAATCTCTCCTCACTGAAAGTGGACCTATGTTAAATAGAATAGATATGACAAAGAAAATTTGATAAGGGCTAAAATGGGAAGCTACTTTTTTATCTTTTATTAATGCCAAACTGCCTAGTAGAGTCTTATGATTAGGTATTTGCATAACAAAATTACGTGTTTGACAATATGTGTACTAATATATAATACTATGATACCTAAAATAATTATACACACAAGTATACATACACACATCTCTCTATTTGTGAGTGACATATTTATTATAAAGCTTTATATCATGTTACTAGTATTGTTCATAAAAGACAACAAAACCATTTGTAAGAATTATCTCTCAAGCATGGCCATGATCATTTATAACTTGATAGAAGTCTTGTTTTACTGAAACAGGGAGAATGAAACTCTGAGGAGAAAAGAGAGTGAATTAGACTGTGGGGAGAGGTTATGTCAATTCTGTTGAATTCTGGAATTTATCAGAAAACTAAATTTTCTTGGGAGTTGGATCAGTCACCTGCTCGAAGGTGGAGTAGAGGGTGCTTGGAAAATGATAGATTTATTAAAATTCTTCTTAGAACTGGGGCAAGGCAGCAAACAAGTTATTTGCCTCCCTTTTATCGTATGTAAAATGGAAACATTATTAGCACCTACTTCTTTGGTGATAATAAGAATTAAATGAAATAGTAAAATGAAGCATTTAGTCCAGGGCCTGGCACACATGAAATGCATAAATATTACCTGTTATTAACCCAGTGCCTCATGGTTCTGTGTGGTCAGTGGGAGGTCTGCTAATGCTTGTGGTGAGAAGTGAAGGTCCCTATTAGGAGAGGCTCTTGCTTTTAGAAAGTTCAGAGAGGATCTCTACATTTCAAATGCTGATTATTTGTCCGCACAGCTCAGTGTTTCTGCCTGCCTTTACTATTGCCCTTAATGATTTAGGAAATCTACCTGCACTTAAAAGGTAAACTTTATGGAAGATAAATACATAGCTATTTTTTATAGTAGTGTGTGGCTACTTATTGTCACCTAGGTGGTTAGTTTGGAATGGGTTTGTTAAGTTCATTCTGTGCACATATTCTGTGCTAAGTGTTGGAACTAGAGTGAATATGTGGTCCCTGTGATCAGGGAGCTCACATCCTAGAAGGACAGACAGACACTCAAACCAATAATTCTAGCGCAAAGAGGCAGGCGCACTGATGAAGGTGTGTGCATGTTTTTTGTTGTGTGTGTGTGTGTATGTGTGTTCAATCCTCACCTGAGGATATGTTCATTGATTTTAGAAAGAGAGGGTGGAAGGAGGGTATCTGCCCCAACTGAGGCCAGGGATCAAACCAGAGAGAGAGAGAGAGAGAGAGAGAGAGAGAGAGAGATTGGTCGGTTGCCTCCTGTATGCCCCACAACCGGACATTGAACCCACAACTAGGAATGTGCCCTGACTGGGAATTGAACCTACAATATTTTTGGTGTGTGGGGTGATGCTCCAATCAACTGAACCACCCAGCCAGGGAGGTATGTGCATGGTTTTGCAAGAGCAGTGTAGAGAGTGGTTGCTAATCTGGTGAGAGTTGTTGAGGGACGGGGAAGGGTACTACTCACATTATGCTCCATCTCTCCTTATTCTATTAAACCAGATTTATAATATACTAGAGGCCCATTGCACGAAGAGATTCGTGCAATAGGCCTTCCCTCCCCCTGGCTGCCTGCACTGGTTTTCCTCCAGCACCTGGGACCCAGGCCTTTGCTCCGGATGGAGCCTTCAGTCTTCGTGGCTCTGAACAAAGCCTTCAGTCTTTGCTCTGCCGCTTCACCCCTACATATGCAAATTAACTGCCATCTTTGTTGGGTTAATTTGCATATTCTCCTGATTGGCTGGTGAGTGTAGCAGAGGGACAGTTAATTTACATGTTTGTCTATTATTAGGTAAGATTTCACATTCTCAGTGATAAACAATTATCAGCCAATTATTGGACTAATGTCTACTTATTTTCAAAGATCCAGTTTTTCTGGCTGAATTCAACCATAGAATGATTTTTTATACAGAGAGTGAATAATTAAGCATATATGAGCACATATTTGCCCTGAATATACTGTATATTAATGGAGTGAAAGAATTTTAAAATAAGTTATTCCTTTCTTTTTCTTGAAAATTATTAGGTGTTTTAGTTTATCAAAAACATGTTTTTTATTGAAAATATTATTGTTTCTTTTTTATGGAACTAACATATGTTCTCCACTTAGCGATTATAATCAGTTAATATAAATTATTTATTTTAATTTAGGGCTTCTCACTCCACTCACGAAAGTGAATTGGAACAATTGGGTCTCTCTATTTGTTAGGCTAATTTTCTCAAGAGACAGGTGGTCCTTATTAGTGATTACAAACATATTGTAACCTAGAGGTTCCGAGTAAGCATCAAAGCCGGAACTGAGAAGGAACAGCCATATGCTGCTTTGAGTCCACAGGGAGAGGGTGGATCAAGGTTACTGGACCGGCCTGAAATAACTCAGGGCTCACATTTTTATTCTTCCAAACACAGCCACTTTTGTGGCATTAGTGTAGGAATGTGATGGGTTTTTGCTTATTTGGTTTTCTTCTCTTTTTAGCCAAGTAAATAATTTGAAAATAAATAAACATAGTCAAGGACAGTGAGTTCACAGGTGCCTCAACCATAATTAGTGATATAGTGTCAATTGGAAAGGGTGGTTGGAAGAAGAAGGGCTTCATTGAACCTGACT